GTTCAGAACGCCTTGATCAGTTGTTCTAGAGAAGGATACTTCCCTCTAGTCAAGGATTCTCCGCATTGTGAATGAGAGTGAAACATGTTAGAGATCATCAACCATTAATCTGGCTAGTGGCTAGGGGGAATCATACCTAAGTGAGTTCCCAACCTGTAATTAGATTAACTATTATTGTAGTTTGCTAGAGTAGTTACACCTCTTATCTTAATATGGTTTGCTAGATAATGATCTAAAACTGAGTAATAGTAACTCTAGAGACCCATGGATTCAACATTTATTACTTGAGCCACTATACTGTTTTTCCATTCTACGATTACACTTGGCCGTAGTTTGGGGTTGTGTCGTAGCGAGTCAACGATATTTACTAGAAAAGTGAAAAGTGGGTTTGCATTGTAGTTATTCATGACGCTTTATGACATTTATGGTTTGCATTACAGTGTCTATGATTTTTATTACGAACAGATTGCGGCTTGTAACGATTTAGGTTTTTATGGTGCATTGGAAGTGTTGTGGTGTGCTTAAGAAGTTTTGTGGTTTGTTTTCAAGTGTTTTGGTTTTGGGAAGAATCTGGTGTGTTTTCCGATGATTTTGTAATCATTTTTGGGATTTGTGGTTTGTTTTGATGGGCGGTTTGATTTGTACTGCTTATGATATGGTAAATGACATGTATAAGCTTGGTTGTGGTGATTATTGTAAAAAAAAAGGAAGGATTGATTTGAGCATACCTTCTTCATGTTCGTTGTTGGCACTGTTGGTGGAAATAGAGGTTTCCAGCTTCTGTCCGCCTTCTGTTGCATTGTTAGAAGATGTTGCAATTTGCAGGAGTTGTTGAGCATCTACAGAGCCAACAAAAAATTCATCTACAGGATTCTCGTCCATCTTCAACGACTTGCTTCCTGATTTTTTGCTGGTGCTGTAATTTTTTAGATCTGTAGCTTACTCTATCGTGAAATGATGCGAGCTGGAGTAGATTGTTGCGTCGTTGTCGTGTTATAAGCTATTGCTGCCTGATTTTTACGCCGTCGCCGCTGTTGCGTTAGCTGTATCAGAAGGTCGTTCCGCCGTCGACACTGTTGTCTTATAATTAGGGATGGCAATGGGTCGGGTTGGGGCGGGTTTTGCCAAACCCAAACCCATACCCATGGGTTTATCCGTCAAAAAAACACAGAGTAAAATCCGTTGGGTTTGAAAAACTGAAACCCAACCCACTGGGTACCCGCGGGTTCATGGGTACCCATGGGTTTTTGTAGTAAAACATTTACAATAAATATTAACAAGAAACTATCAAAATAAAAATCAAGCATCAATCTCGCCATACAAACTATTCATACATAAACACACCATTCTAAAAAATTCAAGCAAATCACACACTATCCATACAAATTGTTCAACACCAATCTAGAAAATTCAAGAAAGTCACAAATTATCAAGTACCTACATAAACAAATGCCAAGTATAAATTCATCAAACAAATGAAAAAATCCTACTCTCAAACCAACCCAATGAGCAAGTAGCAACCCAACCAGCCATATATAAATTCAAAAGTCAATCCTAAGCAGTAAGTCCGAGCAATGAAAAATGCAAGATATCATAGACAAAGTTCTGTTAACTTAATGCCAAGTTCATAATATTCTCCAAAACCTTCAATTCATGATTCTTGTCTCAAAGATATTGTCCGAAACCACAAACAAATAGTTCCAATTCGTGATATTGTCCAAAACCTTGCCAGCTAATTTACTATCAAGTAATTTACCATTCATGATTATTGTCTCAAAGTAACAACTAGCAGTTTCAATTCAACATCACTCACATCCACCAGGCGGCGTCGAGGCGCGGAGCAGAGGAAGTAGGAGGAGGGCGATGACACTGAAGTCGAAGGTCGACCGTCGACGGGAGGTGGAGGCGCGGTCGCGCAGAGCAGAGGAGGAGAAGGAGGAGGGTGGCGGGAGGTGACGACGTGGAGGCGCGAAGCAGAGAAGGAGGGAGAGGGCGGCGACTGCGAGACTGGATTCGACCGTTGGCGGGAGGTAGAGACAAGTCTGGGCGAGCGGCAAGAATGAAGTCGGACGGAGGGTGACTGTCGGCGAGGCGGCGATCCCAGAGTCTCACCTCTTACGATTCCGTTTTCAGAGAGGGAGAGGGAACGTGCGATTGCGGCCTGCGGTGGGTATGGTAGTTGGGGGGGGGGAATTTGGGAAATAAAAAATGTTATGGTAAGGTAGGGTCGTCTGCTGCGTGGGTCGAGCTCACTTAGTGTTTGACTGTGGCAGGGTATCCACGAGGTGGGTACCCCAAACCCGAACCCGCCCCAACCCTGTCAACCAGCCACCAGATGTAAACCCGAACACAATCAATAGAGTTTTACCCGCTTTGACCGGATTGGGTTGAACCGGGTACCCGCTGGTCCGGGTTTTATTGCCATCCCTACTCCCAAGCGTGTATTGGGTGGGTTCGTCCATACTCCATTGCCCATCCCTACCCACCGTGGCTTCCTTTGGATTAGGGGTGGGCATCCGGTTCGATAAACCCGAACTGAACCGGACCAAAACCGAAATGTACCGAACCAAAATATCCTTGTTCGGTTCCGAAACCGGAAGGCAAAACCAACTATTTCGAAAATCAGAGTCTGCTCAACCGAACCCGATTTCCGAACCGACCAACCGAATTTACACTCACAACCCAAGTCCACAATCCCCAAGCCCAAACAACCAAACCCACTACATTTATTTTCCCATTTCTCTGAAACCCTAGGCCCTAGTTACTCACAACAATCGACGAGTGAGGTCTTGAAGGCGGAACTTCAAGATCTGCCAGCTTCAAGGCCCTGGTTCCTTCTTCATTCTCTCCCACACCCGACCCTCCTACCAAAAAATCTCTTAGCTCTGCTCCTTTCTCCACCCGAGCCTCCACCGACGGAGTTCAACATCTGCCAGCTTTGACACCATCACCCCCAAATCAAGATCTGCTCGATGCCATCGCTTCCTTCGAAGCTTCAACCAAATACAAACATGCAGCGCAAAATCTATGAGGAGTAGAGGCGAAGGAGAAAAACAAACCAAAAATTCATGCATACTTAGATATTAAACCTTACTAACCTCTAACCTTCGTCGCCGGAGTCGTCACAATCATCGATGTCAATCGTCGTCGCCATCGCTGCTGGGTCATTCTCTCCATCAATCACCGTCGCCGTCGCCGCTAGGTCGTTCTCTCCGTCAATCGCAATCGCCGCCAGCCCCTGAGTTCTTTTCTCCATCAATCACCAGAGACGGGAGTCGGGAGGAGAAATCACCGTTGCTCACTGCTTTGTGCTCTGAGAAGTGAGAGAGAAGAAGAAGAAAGAGAGAGAGAGAGAAGAAGAAAGGGAGAGAATTGGTTCTGCGTATTGCATAGAAATGGTAGGTGGGGTTATAGGATAAGTGGGAAAGAGGGTAAGTGGGGGAGGGAGAGTGAAATTTTTTTTCATAAGCAGAGTGGACTTCTTAGAAACTTCGGGTAGATGCTTAAAACCGAATCCGAACCGAAATAAATTTTAGTTAGAACTCGATTTGCTTCATGAAATATTTTGGGGACCCAATATTCATCTGTTCGGTTCGGTTCAAACCGAACCGACTAACGCCCACCCCTACTTTGGATACTCGACTGCTAATAAACCACCACCTCAGTTCCCGCTCTTCTGAACATATAATCCCTCAGATGTATGTTGCGAGCTAAAGGAAAATGGCTCATTGTTACTTGTTCTTCTGCGTATTGAAAGAGAGCGAACCTCCTCGATCCATCTCGTTGAAGCCATCCACTGGTTCGGAATCTCGTCGGAGATCCCACTTGTTAATAATCATTGACAAAGCAAGAATGAAGCTGGGAATTACAAGCGATATCCGGCGCAGATACTGCCGCTTGGCAAGGATTATTGGTTAGTACACTTAGCTCCTCAAAAGCGAGGATAAACGCTAAACCCCAATAAACATGGCGGAATTGAGCAAATCCAAATTTCTCGACTTTACCCGGTACCCGATCGCGATAATTTGTGTTTCGAACGATGAATGTGGATCGAATTTAGGCGGCAGTTGGAGACGTGAGCGATCGATGTACGGTAAGAGATCCTTTCCTTCGTTCTTACTTGTTCAGTCAATTCGCTTTCGCAGTATATTTGGAATCTTCTTGAACCCCAGTTTATTGCATGACTCGGGGACTGTTTTGTTTCTTCTTATACTCACTTTAAGATGGGCACACTTATAATCGTCCTTTTGATCTTTCTCCTGCTCTTTCCCTGTTTGAGTGGAAAAGTGGATGAAACAGTTTCGTGAAAGTTTTTGCGTTTCTGGGTAGGAATGCTATAAACAGTTTTGATGAAAAGGGCATAATCTGTTTGGGTAGAAACTTCAGTTCTGGTAATTTCATTCGAGTTTGTTGGCAGTTTTTGGAGCTGTGTTCTGTTAAGAACTCAAGTTCTAGTTGGCCATTTACTAGGGGAATGATCACTGATGCTCTCTAGTCGCCCTTCTGCTATCCATCTCTAAGTTACCGAAATATATATGTTTTCTGATCCTGGACAGACTCGATATTGCTAGAAGGTTAGTGTCTGTTGCTAGGGGTTAGTTTCTGCCCTATAGATTATCCCTAGTCCTCTTTGCTGCCCTTCTGCTCCAGTGCAACTGATCCAATTGCCAAATGTGTGGTTGGCGTGCCAGAAAAGAGTTTAGCTTGTTAAACTGATGTAGTGGGTGATACTTGTATGAGAGTTATTTCTGCTCTATTCCGAACATACTGAAATGTGCTTTTTACAAATAACAATCCAAAATGTTACAGGCTTTGGAAATCAAGAAATCTGCTACATATGGACGTCTCATATGCTTGCCGTGGTGATACTAGTTTGTAAAGCATGAAACTACATTGAGATTACATGTTAGAGTCTGTTACAACTTCTGGTTCAACTCCAAGATGGAAACTGAGATTGAAGCTCATGACAATTCAAAAACACTTTGTTAGCACAAACAAAACTAAGCATGAAACTCCATAAAGCTGTGTTGTGGCTCCTCCAAGTATATCGCCCATACGAGATCATAGTAGAGGGAGAATGTTGAAAGAAGGAAAATGGTCACTGGCAAGCAAGTTGCAGCATACGCTGGATATGAAAACATTCTCAGGCTTTCGTTTAGAACAAAGAAATGTGCTGCACAGAAGGAAACCAGCATGGAAGCTATGGAAAGGAAGAGAGACGTTAGCCCCCATATAAGCTTCCGAGGCAGTGTCTTGGCAAAGTCTTTGTGATCAAATCGAGAAGTGAGGATAGTAAGAAAAGTTACTAGGGATGTTACGGATAAGCAGAGTGCAAGCAAGGATGTGATGGCAAAGACATTGAATGCAGGCTCCCGTTCAAGAACAGGGATACCGGTGTCTTCTTTGTTGCCTCCAGGGACGGTCGATGATCCTGCAAATGCAACTGTTGCCACAAGTGCAGCAACAACTGAGCATGACTCGCTGGTTTTGGAGAGCCATTCGCTGCCACTTTTTGCAAGTTGTTTGTGGGTCTTCAATAAGATCTGCTTTGGGGTGTGACCTCTCTTGTTGTATTGAGGAAAGAAGTTGGGTGGCATTGACTGCATAACGAACTGCACAAAATACAGGTATTCATCAGAGACCCCATTTATAGTCAGGTTTATCTGGAAAAAAAAAACTTAAAAGTTGTAAAACTTCAAACTTATTGGGCTAAATGGCCATGTAAAATGTTGATTATCTTTGGCTATGGTAGTTTCTTAACTGAACACATGAAATACTAGCTGCGAATCTGTTAGCTTATTACTTTATTAGTAAAGTTACTAGTGTTTCTGTTGGCTTATTAGTTTGTTTACCTAGCCTTTAGCCATTTAAATCCTAGTCTAAGCAGTAATGTTGTTATGCTTCTCCTTTCCTAGTTGTCGTAGACAAGGTAGTTTCCTCTGTTAGTTCTAGTAGACAATAGATTTTTTATTGTCATAGGAATAACATTGGTTTTAGTCATGGTCCATGAAACCGTACCATACCGGCGGTTCAACCACAAAATACCAGTATCGGAGACTAAACCGGTAGACGGTATTTAACGATCTAACGGTTGAACTACGGTTAAACCACGGTTTTATTATAAAATACCATATCACTGGCTTTTCCGGTACGATATCCGGTACGGTTTCATGGACCATGGTTTTAGTTAGAGAGAGTCGGGTCTTTTCTCAGCCGAAGAGGATAATTGTGGTTTCGTTCTAGAATAAAATCATGGTTCTGTAATAAGCTAAAATTTATCATGGAATCATTCATTAAGTGATCCAAACTGAAATGTACTTGGACTTAGCCCTTTGTTGTGAGTACTTTTTTATGCAAAACAAAAAGCCTGGGTGGTCAATCTCCAGAATAACTCTTTGTAAAATTACCTTGTACCACTTGAGTTCCCACTGCATTTGCAGGCCAGCTCCTGGAACGAGCCAAGGTCTAGAATCTCCAAAAGTTGCAGCCAGGTGCAATGCGCTGTTCCCGTCTTTATCCACTCGTCCAAAAACACTCTCCTTTAGTATAACCTTCTCCTTAAGCATTTTAAAGACTTGGACATGTTTGTTCTCCACTGCCAAGAGCACAACATTCTTATTATCAGAGTCCAGGTCATGAATAGCTATAGGAAATGTTTCCATTATTTTCTGCACTACTTCTTTAACTCCCATCTTTGCCGCTATCAATATTGGGGTTTCCTTGCTCATTGAACCAAAATGAGTTCGATTTTCTTTCTCGTGCGACACAAGGACAAGATATTTATTTTCTGTGTCTAGTTCTCGAATTGTGGCTGGCCAGGCCTTCATAAAATGTTCCACTAAGTCAGTTATTCCCAGGTGTGCTGCAACTATAATGGATTTCTCCTTTTTGTCTGTTCAATATACAGAAGGATACATCAGAGTAGTTCTTCATTAATAAACAGGTTATAAGGGATAGCTATGCTTAATTGATCATAAAAGTCTGTTTAATTTCGCATAATCACAGGTCTTGTTGCTGAAATTTTATGAACTAAATGTTTGATCTTTACCTCCAGTTTCAGGCACATTAGTGTTGTTCACAGAGCTCTGAGATATCTGATCATCCGTCTGCAATTCAGCGATTTGCCCCAAATCTATGTCTCCATCGATAGGTTTTCGGCCACTGTCTTCATACCTATATGTGGAAGTTTTGTCAACCAATGCTTTCAATACAACATTCGCCAATGTGTGCGCCACTTTCATCCTTGTTATCTTAGCTACCCTGGAATATCCTGCATGTAATGAATGATGCCAAAGGCATTTGACATGGATGTGTACAGGATAGAGTTGTTTCTCTATGAAAGACAAAGAAGGGGGGTACTCACCGAGTCCCAGAATAATTAGCAGTGCCTTCAATATGAGCTTGAAAATATCAATACTTGTTGCATAATTTGGTGGGGAAATTTCTTTGAGCTTCCCCGTTCTTATTGACTCCGCACCTGAAGAATATTTCCGAGGAAATCAAGTGAGAATTGATTAACAACTCCATCTGTGCTTGACCATGGATCTCATGAAATGATATGACTTTACCTGGAATACTTCCTTTGCTGAAGCTTTCAGGATCATCATTGCTGCTTTCCTCACTCACGCAGTCTTGACTAGGACGAAAAGAACAAAAGACTGCGGCAACATATGACATAATGAGAAAGATTTTTCTAAATCTTTGATTAAATTTTGACACATTTTAGTCAGGGGATAAGGTCAAACTCACTTAATAGCTTCTTCATCAGATGGAAGAAGGTCATGCATGTTTCATAGCTTTCTGGATAATTATGACTCCTTTCCGATTTTTCGAGTCCCGATGAACTTCTTGTTTGGTCTAGGTCATCAACTATTGCACCTGAAAAGAGAGGTTTACTTCACCTTCAGTAAAGTTTTATTTGTCTTTCCTTATCTAAATATGCAGGTGGGCATTGAGATTGAAACTCTCACAGGAGTAGATGATACGATCAAACAGGGCAAAGTGAGAATTGCTTCTGAATGCATTGGGCTTTCCAGCTAGAATATGCAGAGGAGAAGCTCCATCCTCCCTTATTTTGTCCACAAGGTCTGGCCACTGCTCTATAATATGATATGCCAACTCTGCTTACATGTATAGAACTGTTGTTGTTCAGTGTAAAATCAAAGAGCATTGAAATGTGGAAGTGTTTAATTCGATATACATTTATTACCAAAGTGTTCACCGGAGATGGCAGCATGAAGAATGGTGTCACCTCTACAAGACCTCCAGTGACAAATCTCGTCCGCTTCCTCCTTGTCAAGACTATCCAGGAGAATGAAGAAATTCTGCGTCTTCCCAGAAATGGCTGCCATGAAAAGAGGGGTCTCGCCGTCTCTGTTGCTGATCCCGATGAGCTCTGCAGAGGTCTTGGAAGCCAAGCACTTGCACATGTCAGCATCGCCAACTGCTGCTGCCAGGTGGATAGCCGTGGACCCCGCCGCGTTCTGCAATCCCAGAACTTCTGCAGCGTACTTGCTTTGTATCTGCTTCACGAGTTGCCTCACCACCTCAGTCTGGCCATTCAAAACGGCAATGTGCAGTGCTGTGTCTTCTGACGGGTGATCTTGGACTTCTGGGTTTCAAGATTTGCATATGCAGTCACCACTATCTCCCACCTTCCCTGCATGATGTCATCAAACAAGGTATTCTGCTGCCCCATGGTTTGTCGGAATGCTAATTGCTAAGGTTTTTTTTTATTATGAGCTGAATCACTCGTGCAGCTGGGACTTGTATAATCTCAGCTGCTGCATGTGCTTGATCATGGAGAACGAAAGTGGCAGACTTTTGAGCTCGCCATTGTTTATTATTTATGTTAAATTTTGGTTCTTTACTTGCTTCTGTCTTCTTGGTATTTTTCTCTTTTCAGTTGTTCCGTTTCATTAAAAGAATCCAAAGAAATTGAAAGCAACCATACGCTGTTTCAAGCTCTTCTAAAGCTGACGCCGGGTTGCTCTCCGCGGAAGGCATGCATTTTTATGTACAGCAAGCTTATCCCTCCCACCCATCTTCTTCCGACTATGCTACTTCCAACAATTATAAGGTAACAATAATAATTTCAGGATCTTATAATTTCAGAGTTTAAAATTATATGATGAGAATAAAAACGACACAAATTAATTAAATAACCAAAAGTATGTCCACTCAAACAAAAGATAATCAAAACCGCCCTAGAACAAGAGTCATTTAGCTTCCTAGCTAGCTATTATTAAGTTGCTCCAAGCCCCATGAACTGATGAATGAATAAACCATCCCAGAGTGTGTCAAAAATAGAGATGTCTCCTTTACCTATCTTCATAGCTGTCTTCTCCTTCTTTGCATTATCAGCCTGTAGTAGTAGTGCTACTACAGCGCCCGAAACGGCCGCCTCTTGCAGCACTCCCTTCCGCCTGTTCGTCCGCCAAAACTACAACATCACCAACTGCAGGAAACTCGCCACCCTAGGAGCCGAATTCGCCTGGGAGCTCATCCCGGGAAACCGCTCCCAGTTCCAGGTCATCTTTGGCGCAAGGCTCTCCGACGACGTGGCCTGGGTGGCTTGGGGAGTCAACCCAACTCGCCCTAAGATGGTCGGGACCCGAGCCATGATTGGCGTCCGAGATCTGGCCACCGGATTGTTCAGGGTGGCACCGTACAATGTGACTTGGCAGACAAGGAAGCGGTGCGGGCTGCATCCCAACTGGGGGATCGACGTGGAGTTTCGTAATGCGTCGATGGAGTACTTGAGCGGGATTGATTACTATGCAATGCGGGCCACGGTGGGGCTTCCCTCCGCTGCTGCCATGGCCGGATCGACATACAACGTGTCGAGGCTGAACCACGTGTGGCAGGTCGGGTACAGTGCGGAAGGAATGGAGCCCCGGATCCATCCCGTGTCGGACCTTCAGCACTTTGACAGCAAGGAGACCATCGATTTGAGGACGGGTGCCGTCCGCCTGCAGGCCGGTCGTCACCGCCGCTATCTTAGAACGGTAGTGTCTATGGTTTGATCCCTTTATTAGCTTCCTTATGGTTCTTTTGGTCATGGTCATATTCTTTTGCCTTGGGCGAAAAGTAAAAATTTATCCGGTTCTTTTTTTTTTTAAACTTGCTCTACAGGTTCATGGAATTCTAAGCATGATAGGATGGGGGACAATTTTGCCAGTGGGAGCCATCATAGCTAGATACTCGAAATTCCCTGTTGAAGCCGGCTACCCTCGGTGGTTCTTGGCCCACAAGTCATGTCAACTTGTTGGCTACGCAATGGGCATCGCCGGCTGGATCCTCGGCATCTTGCTCGGCAATTCCTCGGTGCTGTACGCCATGAAAGTCCACCGTCTCTACGCCATCTTCATCTTGGCTTTCGCTACTCTTCAAGTAACTAATTTCAATCATGACAGTAACTCCAGCACTCCTTCCATTTTAGTCGTAGCTAACTAGATCCTATCTGTTTTTCTAACCATTGCAACTGACCTCTGGTCTAGGTGACGGCGTTGTTTTTCAAACCGGGTAAAGGGGACGAGTACCGGAAGTACTGGAACCTGTACCACCATTTTCTGGGCTACGGCCTGCTGTCCGTGATCGTCATCAACAACTTCAAAGGGATTGCGATCCTGAAACCCAACTACACATGGAAATGGGCGTATATCGGCATTTTGGCATGCCTCGCCGGCGTCGCTCTGGCCATGGAGATGTGGAGCTGGATTAAGTTCATGAAGATGAAGAAGGAGAGTAATGGTATCATACGGCCAAATTATCAAGTTCCTACTAGCAGCAGCACATATGGGAAAGCGCCCAGTACTGCCGGCGGGGAACAACTCGAGCACAAATGAAAAACCCGAGTAGTCGTCGGATCGGACTTTCACCTAGTCGTAGGAGTAGGGACCAGCTGGATTTCGGTTGGACTGGCTAAGGTTCGTTGATATTTTGTCAACTTGAAATATGATGGGTTCCGAGTCGGATGGTTTGTTCGGTCAGATTCCATTTTGAGTTTTTGACAGACCTCTGTTTAACAAAAGAAATTTGCAATGACAAAAAAAATTTGCAACAAAATGATGGATTGTTCATCTGGTTTGACTTTGAGATAAGATGGGACCAAAAATAAAAATATGCGAACCAAACCATATCAAAATAATGTTTGTTCATTTAGTTCGACTTGATCCAGACCAAATTTAGTGTTAGGCCGCTTTTTATACTTAAGATAATTTGTAGGATTGAAGTCGAAGATAAAAGTATTCAATCCAACTTGATTTGGCTCAAATATCAATTCGATACAATTCTCTAAACTTAAATCCAACCTAAAGGGTACACTCGTCCAAAGAATAAGTATCTGTAAGTTCAAGGCGTAGCCAGAATCTTGATAATGTGAGTCATAATTTTTTTAGAAATTGTATGGTTGGAGAATTTATATAATCATTTTTATCATTGATGTTGTAACCTCATATTATAATTATTTTTGTGAAAGACAGTCACCATTCAAACTATTAAGAATATCATTATTCACTAGACATAGTAACTCGTCGAGTCATTGGGTAATTTGAACCATTGTCATATCTCATATGGTTATTGGATCGTATGCAATGAATTCATTAATGAAGATAATTTATATAATCAATTTTTATCATTGATAATGTAACCTCATATTGTTTTTTTTTTGTGAAAGACCGATACCATTCAAATTATTAAGAATATCACTATTCACTAGACACGGTAACTTGTTGACTCATTGGGTAGTTTAGTCCAATTTCCATGTCTCATATGGTTATTGGATCCTATCCAATGAACTCATATGCACTCTTAATAGTTTGGGTTCGCATTGAATCCAAATTGGCTCAACTCATTTGGGTCAGACCCAAATAAGTCTATTTGAGTCCAATTGATTGTACACAGAAAAACATATCAACCATCTCAATAATAGTCCTAGACCAACATAAAACATTCAAGGTTGATGTTTTCACATTTTTGTTTATTTCTCATAACAAAGGGAAAAAAAAAACTACAAAAACCACATTAAAATAGTGTATCCATTTTCTTTTGGATACCCAATATAGTGAATCTAATTTAGAACCGAACTAAATTCGGTATGATGTATGCCTTAAAACTAAAATTACTCAAACTTGATTTGACCCTTAATAAACTGGGTTTGGACAATACCCAAATTTTAGGTATTTTTCACCATCTCTAGATATCACTATCAGTGTCCCCTATAAACTAATCATTTTAATTGCAATACTCATTGAATTTCAACGCGTGTTGTTCGCATAGTTTACTGCAAAAATATCATTTTTTATAAAGACAATTTATTACATTATTAAAAATAACAAAGGCAAAAACACTTTCCCTCCTACATTAAAAATAACAAGGGCACAATCACTCGCGGAGGGAGAGAGATAGAGAGTGGGTCCTAGCTCAGGGTAGAAAAATGGTAAATTAGGTATGTTTGTGTCTAACTGAGTGTAGGAGTGAGACACGGGGGGTAAGTGGGGTGCGAGTGTGGGATAATAGACATCTACCTTCTTTTCTTTGATCCCAGGTTAGGGTTCGGGGTACAGAGAGAGAGAGAGAAAAGGAGTGAGAAAGTTCGAGTTTCTAGTGAGAGAGAGAGCTAAAAAAATCGATCCCCCACCCACCGCTGTAAATGCTCTATTTATAGGCTAACACTCAGTGGGTGGACACTCGGGATGACAAGACACTTGGAAAAGACAGGAGTTTAGGGTATGATGAGGTCTACAAGTAGGGTTGAGTAGCCTTATCAGCCATTTGGCGTCGTTTCTTGAGTCTCGGACGCACAGGATATTATCGCGCCTCCGCTCTTGTTGGAGACTGGTGGCGTCAGTCTGGGCAGTGGTCGTGGTGGCGCGGTAATGCTCGCTCGTGTCTACTCTTTTCATCGATCCGTCCGCGCCTCTTGATCTGGCGGTCCGCGCGTGTGTTGTCGCGAGTGGTTTAGCTCGCGCGTTACTGTGATCATGCAGCTCGATGAGGCGGTCGAGGCCGAGCCATTCCCCCAACAATTGCCCCCCAAAAGGGGTGTTGATGTGGGCTCAATGTTATTTGGGTTCGGGTTCTGGGCCTGGTCTGTAACCGTTTCCTTTGCTAGATTGGATTAGGTTTAGACCCACATGGAGAAGTACTATAAATACTTCTCATACTCCTCTGTAATCTGTAATCTCCTTGATATAGTGAAATCGGCTCTCTCTCGCCCGTGGACGTAGCTAACACACATCGTGTTAGTGAACCACGTAAATCATGTGTCGTGTTTTTGATTCTCGCTTTCGTATTCTTGCTTTGTCGATTCCGGCGATTTCCCGATCCGTAGCAGCGCGTTTATAACAAGTGGTATCAGAGCCACGGCTGGAAATTAGGCTAGGGTTTTCGATTCAGAAGAATGACGTCGGTGAACATGAAGATCGAAAAGTTCACGGGGAAGAACAGCTTCGCTATATGGCAGATCAAGATGCAGGCTTTATTAAAACAGCAAGGGCTGTGGAGGCCACTTTCTGCGAAACAGAAGAAGGGAGCGGTCGATGACGATGAGTGGAATACCCTGGAGGAGAAGGCCCACTCGACCATCATGCTATCGTTGTCTGATGACGTCATCATTGAAGTCGCTGCTTAGAAGACTGCCGCGGGCTTGTGGTTGAAACTAGAGAGTCTGTACATGACTAAGTCTCTAACCAACAAGCTGCATCTCAAGCAACGGTTGTTCAGCTTGAGGATGCAAGAAGGTACGCCTTTGAGGGAACATCTCGAACAGCTTAACTCTATTTTGCTGGATCTGCGTAATATAGATGTTCAAGTTGATGACGAGGATGCTGCCCTAATCCTGCTGGTTTCTTTGCCGAGTTCATATGAGAATTTCGTTGATTCTTTTATTGCTGGTAAAGAAAGCGTGTCGCTGGAGGATGTCAGGTCTGCTCTTCATACGAGAGAGATCAGACATAAGGCGTCTGGTTCTGGTACAGGTGGTGAGGCATCGGGTTTGGCTGTTACAGGTGGAAAGGGAAAGAAGAAATCTGGTAAAGGGAATTCGAACAAGAATTCCAAGGGTCCCGGTCCACAGCCAGGTGATGCTTGTCACAACTGTAAGGAAGTGGGGCATTGGAAGTACAACTGTCCCAAGAGAAGAGGGCAACAGAAGAAACAAGGTTCAGTTGCCGTGGCAGAAGTGGACGACAGTTCTGAAGACGATCTCGCCTTGGCTGTAGATGAGAAGGCACATCGTGGTGATGTGTGGTTTCTGGATACTGCAGCCTCATACCATATGTCTCCGAACAGGGATTGCTTCACAACCTATGAGCAGATAGATGGTGGTAACGTGGTCATGGCTAATGGAGCTGTCTGCAAGGTTGTGGGAATCGGGTCCATAAAGGTTCGGACACATGATGGTTCGTTCTGTACCGTGAATGATGTCAGGCATGTTCCACGAATGACAAAGAACCTGATCTCCTTGAGTCTACTCGACAGCAAGGGTTTCAGCTTCAAAGGAAAAGGTGGAGTTGTGTATGTCTGCAAGGGTTCGAGGAAGGTACTGAAGGGCGTGAAGCGTGGGACCTTGTATGCATTACAAGGGTCTGTGTTGTCTGGTTCTGCTGCAGTTGCATCGTCTCAGGTTCAACAGGAAGATATGACCACTCTCTGGCACATGAGACTGGGGCATATGAGTGAACGGGGGATGCAAGTTCTATCGAAGAGGGATCTTCTTTGCGGGCACAAGGTGCAGAATTTGGAATTCTGCGAGCATTGTGTGTTTGGGAAGCTACATCGCAGCAAGTTTCCCAAGAAGGGTATCCACCGGACGAAGGGGATACTGGATTACCTCCACTCCGACTGTTGGGGTCCTTCACGAGTTGAATCCATTGGAGGTAGCAGGTATTTTCTGTCTATTATTGATGATTATTCGAGATTTACTTGGATTTTCATGATGAAGCAGAAGAGTGAGGCTTTCACGAAGTTCAAGCAGTGGAAGACATTGGTGGAGAATCAGACCGGGAAGAAGATCAAGAAGCTACGAACGGACAATGGTCTGGAGTTCTGCAGTTCTGAGTTCAACGAATTCTGCAAGGATGAAGGGATTGCCCGTCATCGGACTGTTAGAGATACACCCCAGCAGAATGGCGTTGCAGAAAGGATGAACCAGACATTGTTGGAGAGAGCACGGTGCATGCTCTATAATGCTGGACTAGAGAGAAGATTCTGGGCAGAAGTAGTGAACATGGCGTACTTCCTGATCAACCGTGGACCTCACACAGGTATCGAGTGTAAGACTCCTTATGAGGTGTGGTATGGTAAGCCTGTTGATTACTCTTCACTGAAAGTTTTTGGGTGTCCTGTTTATTATCACGTGGATGAGGGTAAACTGAACCCAAGGGCAAAGAAGGGTGTATTTGTGGGTTACGGAGATGGAGTTAAGGGATTTCGAGTCTGGTCACCTTCTGAGCATCGAGTTATACTTAGTAGAAATGTGATATTTGATGAGAAGTCTATGTTTAACCCCATGTTGAAGGTTACTGTTGTTGAAGGTAGTAGGAATGTTGATAAGCAGGTGGAGCTGCAAACTCTCAATGAGAGTGAGTTTGAGCACCAAGGTGGAGAAGATCAACATGATGAGGATGTCTCTGCAGAGCCAGAAACTTCAGAGTCCAGTGCACGAGCTAAACAGTCTATTGCTTCCGGTAGACCGAAGAGAGCGACTGCAGGAGTACCTCCATAGAGGTATGGCTTCGAGGACATGGTGGCGTATTCATTTCAGGTTGCTGAGGAAGTGGATGCAGGAGAGCCACAGTCCTATAGAGAAGCAGTTTCGGGTGGTGAAGCTGATCAGTGGCTTGCC